GAGTTCAACAAGACAGGGATATATAATCTTCCCACAGAGGAGGGCACTGCAAAGATATAGGCACCACCGTATTTTGTGAAAAATAATATACCACTTATTATATGTCCCTGGATTCAGTTTGCTAGTGTTTAGAATTCTGCAACCACATTCATTGGAGGAATTGGTTTCTCTATAAAACTGACGTGGAAGTACAAAATTACTTTCTTATTAAGGCTGCAAGGTGATTGACACATGGTAGCTGCACTTAAAAGCTAAGTGTTACAGGTCTTTTTTGCGGCGACTCAGAGGCAGTAGGCTGCTTCAGGATGAAGCTGAACATCTCTTTGCCAGCTGCTGACTGCTAGAAACTCATCGAAGTGGACGATGAATGGAAACTTCATACCTTTTTTGAGAAGCAAATGGCCACAGAAGTTGCTGCTGATGAAGTAGGTGAAGAATGGAAGGGTGATGTGGTCTGAATCAGTGGTGGCAACGGCAAACAAGGCTTCCCCATGAAGCAGGTGTCCTGACCCATGGCCGTGTCTGCCTGCTGCTGAGCAAGGGGCATTCCTGCTACCAACCAAGGAGGACTGGAGAAAGCCCATATCTGTTCAGGTTGCATTGCAGACCAACCTCAGTGTTCTCCATGTGGCCATCGTGAGAAATGGGGAGAAGGATATTCCTAGACTCACTGACACTACAGTGCCTCATTGCCCGGGGCCCCAAAAGAGCTAGCAGAAACCTCAGACTTTACAATCGCTTGAAGGAAGATGATGTCTGCCAGTCTTTGTGAGAAAGCCCCTAAACAAAGAAGGGAAGAAACCTAGAACCAAAGCTCTCAAGATTCAGCATCTTGTTCCTCCACCAGTCGTCCAGCACAAACGTTGGCATACTGCTTGGAAGCAGCACACTGAGAAACATAAGCAAGAGGCTGCAGGATATGCCAGACTGGTGGCCAACAGAATGGAGGAGGCCAAGGAAAACACCAGGAACAGACTGCCAAGAGACGGAGGCTGTCTTCTCGGAAAGCTTCTATCTCTGAGTCTGAGTCCTGTCAAAAATGAGATTGTTCTAAGAAGAACAAATAAGATCAGATATCAAAATAATAATAAAAAAGCTAAGTATTATGTGGTGGAGGAAAAAATTTCTGCCTCGAAGGCTTATTATTTAATGATAAAAGGCATTTAATATACCACATGTGATATGTGATACATACCTATGTCTGAGAGGCATGTTTTTAATATTTTCATCTCCCACTTTTCTACCCTGGATTGTAAAATGCCACAGTTTTTCTCTACATGTTCCTGAATGTACTTTCACCTGAGCAACTCTGACGCTGGCCAAAAAACAAGCCTGGATGATGTACAGGTTACTAAGGAGGCAAGAATCCTGTAGGTGGGGCCTAGAGGTTTTCCCATCATCCTCCCGCCTCCTCCCTGACCTCCTCAGCCATCAGGCCTCCTGTGTACACGGCAGGTTTGCCAAGCATCTCAACGAGCGGTAAAAGCATTGCCTCACTTGTAAGGTGCTTGGTAAGTATTTCTAAATATTTCTCATACAAACTGAAAACCAAACAGTCAAGTGGCCTAAGGCTGCCTGACTTCAGGAAACCCTTGTGCTGCTGCCTATTGAGCATTACCTCGACCTTCCCAGTGTGCCAGCAGACAGAGGCCACTTTGTCAAGCTCTGGCTGTTTTGTATACATGTATTTTATTTCAGCTTCTTCATCTTTACTGTTAAAAACTTTACCAAAACCGGGAGTAATAAAACGTCTCATCAGGTATTATTAAATCAGTGAAGGGGGGATGGCTGAAGGGAAGAGAGGTAGGAGGAAGCCAATCCTAGAAAAATGGAATCAATGACAGTAAAATGTGTGATTTATCAAAAAGTCCTATCAGCCTGTCAGGACATATTCATCATAGTCTCTTAACCATCCATTAACTGTGCAATCATATGCTTACTCCCAAATCTATGATGGCCACAAGCCACATGCAAAATGCTAACACTGGCACATGTGGTGGCCAACTCACCTTTCCAGGGCTTTCTTTTACTGTGGCTTCAGCTAACCTATCCCCTGGCCAAAATGGGTATCTTCGTTCTGGCGCATAGCTCATATTTCTCCTCCTGAGGCCTTTTTGTGTGTGTGTTTTCTTTCCATTTGCAGGCCACTCTCTTATCGTGTCTGAAATCTTAGATTTCCAAAAAAAAAAAAAAGAAAGAAATCTTAGATTTCAAGGCCCATCAGATGACTGCTCCCTCCAGACTGCCTCCTGGATTCCTCCTAATCAGTATCTGTCTTCTCCATCGTTTTAGCACCAGTGCTTGAAACTCTTCTGGCACAGTGTTCCTAACACTCTAACTCCCCGGGCCCTCCCCACCCACTCAGCATGCCAGCTGGTAGGCAATTTGCAGGGGAAGACATGCCACATCCTGTAGAGTAAAGGATGTAGCAGTCATACTACCATTTGTTGGCTGTGATTTCTGATTTGTTGACTGTGCTCTCTCTTCCACAGTCTTTATGGAATTCTTAAAATTCTAGTGAAGCCCTTTTCCAGTCCCTGAGCTGGGTGTGCAGGGGGCACTTGTTCAAACTCTGCTTGTGGGCAACAGTTGCCTTTTCTTCTGATGACAATGTGCATTATCCAAGATGTCTTCAAGGTAGTGGGAGTCCAACGGCTGAGTCACAGTGATTACTGGATACATAGGAAGTGGTGGGCTGCAAATACACATCACTGCTATGCTCAAAGCAAAGAAAGACAATGTCTGTCTGCAATGGCCAAGTCCCAGCCTGTTCACAATTGCCCAAGGTGGATGGAAGTAAACTTAACTGGAAGAAGCACTCAAGATGGTGATTTCCAAATAGAAATCAAGGATTTTTTCATGACACAATACTATTTCCTGTCACTTGGGTTAGAAGAGCCTCTTAATTCAAATTCTACACAAACAAAAACTGTCACTTGCTTTTACTTCAGAACAGATGGCCCATCCAGGCCCTGGCTTTCTATGATTTGGCAATAGCAAGAAGAAACAAGCAAACACTGAAAGGAAGTAAAAGAGAACAATCAAACATGAAACAATATGTAAACTAACACATATACAATAAACAGTGTGTAGCTGTTCACGAATAAAGCAGCACAGGGGTGCCTGGGTGGCTCAGTCAGTTAAGTGTCCGACTTTGGCTCCGGGCACAATCTCACAGTTTGTGGGTTCAAGCCCCATGTTGGACTCTGTGCTAACAGCTCAGAGCCTGGAGCCTGCTTAGGATTCTGTGACTCCTTCTCTTTCTGCCCCTCCCCTCCTCACCCTCTGTCTCTGTCTCTTAGAAATAAACATTAAAAAAATAAAAGCACAAAAGTACATGCACAGTAGTCTACCATTTGCAGTAAAACTTTGGATTGCATGTGAAAGTTCTGTGTTTCACAAGACCAGCAAGCATTTCTAATAAATTATAACTTGATAAACAAGCTATGTCTTGCAATATGAGCAGTATGTGATGGTGAATGTCACATGATCAAAACTGAGCCAATGGCTCTTGAAATTTGCTTTGATATGAGTGTTTTAGATTACAAGCATGTTTCTGGAACAAATTATGCTCGCAAACCAAAGATTTACTGTACTTTAAATTTTTTTTTTCAACATTTATTCATTTTTGGGACAGAGAGAGACAGAGCATGAACGGGGGAGGGGCAGAGAGAGAGGGAGACACAGAATCGGAAACAGGCTCCAGGCTCCGAGCCATCAGCCCAGAGCCTGATGCGGGGCTCGAACTCATGGACCGCGAGATCGTGACCTGGCTGAAGTCGGACGCTTAACCGACTGCGCCACCCAGGCGCCCCAAGATTTACTGTACTTTAAAAGATTGTTCAGATTGTACTATCTGCAAAAGTGCTTTCAGGGAGACTCCTATTTCACTCTACAATCTATTCAAAAAATATTTGTTTTTAAAGAAACAAGCCCCAGAACAGAAATAACTTCCAATGATCAAAGGCCTCATGCTCTATATTGAATTTAAGCTTAATATTTCTGGAAAGTCTTCCCTCCAATGAATATTAAGAATGTAGGAAAAAAGGGAACCTGGGTGGCTCAGTTGGTTGAGAGTCCTACTTTGGCTCAGGTTGTGATCTTGCAGTTCGTGAGTTCGAGCCTCATGTCGGGCTCTGTGCTGACAGCTCAGAGCCTGGAACCTGCTTCAGATTCTGTGTCTCCCTCTCTCTCTGCCCCTCCTCCGCTCGTGCTCTGTCTCTCTCTAAAATAAACATTAAAAAAAATTTTTTTAAGTTTTTCTTGGACCTCTTTATAATACGGTTTTAGCGTACCTCTTAATTTATGTTCTTTATATATTTAAAGTATGATTTTTGTCTCTCAAAAATAAACATTAAAAAATATTTTTTTTAATTTAGGAAAAGATCTAATGAACATCCTTTATTGTAGGCAATTATAACTGCATTAAGCCTAATAATAAGGGGGTGATACTGGCCTTTTCAAAGCAAATGTATCAGATTTCTGGTTTTCATCAGCTCTGGTGCTCAGAGGGGAGGAAGATGGTCGGCTTCATAATGTTCACTTACAAAAAAGGTACCACCTAAAGGTGTGCTCCTCTAATACGTGGCTGTTTGCAGAGCAGAAGGATAAGGACCTACTAGCTTTGAACTACCATTCCCAAGTTAGTTTTGCATGTGCTGTGTACACCTACATATTTTTTAAGCTTCTAAAATGTTTGGACTAAAGCAGTTATTTTGCAAACCTTCATCAGGCAGACAGCTGACAACTAAAACAGAAACAAGAAGATAAACCGAAAGCAGTGAAGCAAAAAGCATTTCAAAGGGATTGACAATGTTCACAAGCTACTTAACATGAATTCAGGGTCGGGCATTCTCACGTTAACAGTTACAGACCTCTTCAGAGCTGCTAGTAAGACTTGCCTTTTCTCATTGATGGAACTGAAAACGGGGTCCGGAGGGGGAGGCAGGGAGCAGGCAGGAAAGAAAGAGGAGAACTAGCAAAAATCAGCGAACATCTTATTAACACTGATTCCTTTTACTCTGTGCTTTGCTTTTAGACAGTGAATTTGCAGATAAATTCTTACAAACTTATAGTAAAATGTCCATTTTTGATTAAATTAAAAACCCGCAATAACCGTGGTCAAATTAACATTATACCAAAATTACCACATGCCAGCACGTACAGTCACCCCTGGTGCTGGACACCCAGCTCAAGGCCCTGGAGGGACCCGGTGAGGAGGGGAGGCCACTCTTGGAGAAAGCAGAGTCGTTCTGATCACCTGTCCTCCTTCATCACCAGTGTCCCTGCTGAGCTTAAACACGGGAATCTGCTGACCACCCTTGAGCTTTAAGACCTTCTGAAGGTGCCACCTGAGAGAAAACAAAAGAATAGCCTCTAGTCACAAACACCAAAGCAAAAGGCATGGTCAAAAGAAAAAAAAAAAAAACGTTTTTGAATAACGTCTTAAAAATTTTACACACTATTTTGTTAGAGCTATAAGATAACGTTTTAGCATTTTCTTAAGGACTCTCATAGTTTAACCAGCATCACTGTCAAGGCAAGTTTAACAAAGAATGACCGGTGAATGGAGGGGGCACCAGGAAAGAGAAGGAGCTTATTCCCCATTTCCTAATTCACATCAACCTTTAATTCTTGGCTGGAACTCTGCCAGCTCCTGCATTAATCCCAGGCTCGGGGGCCAATGAGCCCAGGGGGAGCCGGCTGGGGGCTGCCTGAGGGCTGCCTGCTCCTTTTGTCCTGGGGAATTAAAACACAGCTTGGCTAAACAGCAAGCATCTCTGGAGAGGCTTCCAGAAGAGGGAGTGAGTGAATGTAGCTATTGGCAACCAGACAAGAAAAGCCAATTAATGGGGTGGAGATCTTCTATGAAGAATGTGATGAATACTTCTGGAACAGGAACCCATGCCTTTGTTCATCTGTGACGACTGAGGCAAGTGTTAGAAGTTGTAACACAGCATCAGTATCATAGATCTAGATCAGTAGAGCTGTCAAGTTCTTCACAGTCAGCAGCATAAGGAGAGGACAATTCAAGAGGCTTTACTGCATAAAACATCTGGACTGAGCTAAGAGCCAAAGCAATGGCTTGGTGTCCAGGCCATGAAACTTTTCAAGGTTTGAAAAATGAATTCTTACTATTGCAATCATTTCACTACAAATGAAAATGAGAATCAGGATTGTTTCCATTGGAGGGTTCTCTTCCTGTTCCCCCATTCCCACTCACCTTCCCATAATACCTCTGAAAGGGGGCATCTCTGGATGAGCTGACATAGTTATGGCCCTCTAACTTGGTTCCAGAGACTGGAATCTTCAACTGGGGGTATAAAATGCCAGATACAATTGGATACATTGTTGTCCTCCCAAGAGATGAAAAAGTGATGTTTTCTAGAGCTAACCCTATGAAGTCCAATGATCATTCACAGAATTGGTTGTTTTCTAGCTGGAGAACTGACCTGATTTTCCATCTGGCTCCCTCCAACTGTCCTGCCCCTCTTTGGATGGTTTGGTGAGGTCAGTGGCAGTCCTCCTATTTGGCAGAGACCTTATGTGCAAACTCAGGGCTCTGAGTACTTACAACCATATTCAAAAAACCACTGTTAAGAAAGAACAGACCTACAGACACATGCAACAATATGGACATCAAAAACAGGCCAAGTGAAAGAGCCTTACCCAGAAGCATATAATTTAATTTTCTAGAACAGGCTAAGCTATGTTGGAAAAATGTATCAGAGAAGTGGTTGTCTCTAGCAGGGCTGAGGGATGTGAGAGGGCCAACTGGGAAGAGCATAAGCGACTCTCAGGTGATGTGAACAGGCTACATCTAGATGGGGGCTTGTTACATTGGTGAATGCATTTATTAAAATTCATCAAATAGGACAGATTTGTACCTTTCCCGGAATGCAAATTTTACCTCAAAAAAAGAAAGAACAATAAATATATATTAAACTCTGGTTAATGATATGTTGCTTATGTGTTTAAATGAAGTGTATGGATGTTTGAACATGATGTGTTCATGGACACAGATATGGCTAGACAAACAGGAGATAAAGCAAATCAAGGAAAATATTACAGTCGACCCTCGAACAACACATCAAAAATCTGCACGTAACTTTTGACTCCCCCCAAATTTAATTATTAATAGCACACTGATGACTGGAAGCCATACTACTAATATAAGCAGTCGACTAACACATGTTTGTATGTTCTATGTATTCTGTGCTGTATTCTTACAATAAAGTAAGCTAGAGGAAAGAAAATGTTAAGAAAATCGTAAGGAGAAAACACATCTACAGTCCTGTACTGTATCAACAAAAATCTGTGTATGAAGTGGGCCCACACAGTCCAAACCTGTGTTGTTCAAGGATCAATTGTAATCGGAGAATCCAGGTAGTGGCTACCTGGGTACCAGAGTGTCAATTCTTTTATCTTCTCTGTACGTTCAAAACTTTTCATAATGAAAGAGAGGATCCAGCCCATGGGGAAGCACAGAGGAGCCACACCACATGGTGTGAAAGACTTGATGACATGCACATAAGGCCACCTGGCACACACTGGGGCACTCTGTACCTGTCCACCCCTTCCCTTTGTCTTCTGGGCTCCCTCTCTCAGTGGCACCGCTACCTTCCCACTCACCCATATCAGACATTAAAGCATCACCTCTGACGCAGTCCTCTCCTGATCTAAGCAGGCCATAGCTCCGGTTCACACTCTCACGGCTGCACAGCTGCATAGCCACACTGCTTTCCTAAAGGCAGTCCCAGGGGTCCAGTATCTGGGTATTTCCAATCGGCATGAATTGATCTTCTTTTAAAGCCAGATCAAATATTTTTATCAAAATACTCAAGTATGAGTGGCTTTTGTCAGAAAAAAGTCCCAATGAAACTATTCCCATTAAAAAATTAATAAAAACAACACTGACAAAAAAAAAAAAATAGATCAGAGCATCTCACTCTTACCCATGGCTTCCGCTGGCCCCACAATCGAGTGTGTCTATCTCACACAATGATGTCACGGCCCTGTGGTCCCAGCCCGTCCTACCCACCACACCTGCCTGGGAAGCCTGCACCTCTGTGGAGGTCACACTGGCAGGGGGCACAGCCAAGTGCCTTCTCGGGCACACTGCTCCATAGCTGGCATTCCTTCTCTTCACAACAATGTCCCAGGTGGCTAACTGCTCCCTCCCAGGTTGCTACCACAGCATTCGCTTCAGGGTACCCTGTCTTGGGAGTTTTAAACCATAACCCCCTGGAAACCCTTCTGTATCTCTGAATTGCCCACACAGCTTCGAATCATTCCTCTAACTTGGTGTGGGCCCAAAACATATTTGTTCAACATTAGAATAAACGCATCTCATATTCAGGTGACTTTACTGGCTGAAATATAAAAGCGGATAGAGCTGAGAAAATGGACTGGCATTTCGTGGCAGCAATGGAATAAATGAGCATTAAAACTAGAGTTTAAAGAGTTGCTCACACTTGAATGAGCACTGACTGGTCGTAGATGTATTTCAAGTTCAAGGCAGAAGCTGTGGCACACTGCTGCTGCTCACTTCCCTACAACAGTCAGTTCCAGATGGTGCCATGAGCCCGAACACTGCCTCCCCTGCCACAGTTATCCCCCAGAAAGGAAGACGAGTATGTGAGAATAAATTCACCCATAATGCTTTCACAGAAGGTGCTCAGTAATACCTAGTGGAGGTTTTACTTCGTGCATGTTCCCATCCCGAATCCTCCAAGACCGTCCCCCCAGCGATGGCAGCCCTCTCCCGGACTTCAGTCTGCATGGGGAGCACGTTACCTGGGCATTGGCAATGTCCACGAAGCTGTACTTGTCGGTGAGGTGGAGCTAATGGACAAAAGCGGAGGGCCCAGAGCCGCCAGGGCCTCGGGGTAGCTGTGCAGCTGCTCCAATGCTAGCTGGTAATAGGAAGCCCTGGAAAAAGCTTCTAAGGGGGAAAGACAGTTGTTACATTTATTTTTCTTTTTTAAACTCAGGTAGACTCTCTATAGAAAGTTGGAGGATACAATTCATGTACAGCATGGAAACAGAAACAAATGTGAAATTTCTGGATGGAAAATAATTCGGGAACATTTACCCTAAACTGTCCCTTTTAGAGACTCCAAAAGCAAAGTATAGAAAGTCAGTGTTAGGATGTCCCTGGAAGGGGGCGGCCCTCTTGCCAGCGCGCCGGGACAAACTGAAGGTCAACCAATGACCGAGCGCCAGCACAACCCAATGGAGAGCCCCGAGCAGCGCGCCGGGACAAACTGAATGAAGGTCAACCAATCATGGAGCGCCAGCACAACCCAATGGAAAGCCCCGAGTGGCTCTCCAGAACGAACTGAAGGTCAACCAATTACCAAGCAACAGCACAACCTGGCTCAAGAGAAAGACCCACCCGAGCCTAAACCTGGAACTGCTGCGGCTTAAAAACCCTACCCCACCATACCCGGGCGCGACTTCCTTGACTCCTCTCTCTCTCTCCCTGAGTCACAGAACCTCGTCCGAGACCTTAGTTCCCAAATAAAGCCTTTGACTGCTAAAATTTTTTAGCCTCTGACTCCTATCTTTACCCTGCCTTATGCCTGACCCTAACATTTGGTGCCGAAACCCAGGAGGAGGTGGTAGCTCGCCTCCCTCGGCTGAACTCCCCCCTCCTCACCAAGCCAGATGCCAACCACCCTACTCTCAAGAGCCTACAGGAGCCGGTAAGTAGGACAGACCCCTCCTTTCCCCCCTTCCAACTACGGCTGACACCCACAAGACACGTCTCGCAAGTCAGTCTCCTCTCCTCCGCACACTGAAAGGCCCGCACACCAAAAGACCCCTTATCGCAACGCGAGGGACGCCTCGCCTTGCCACGCCAATGGCGAGTAATGAGTCTAAACCACCTCGATCTCTTACCCCCCTCCAATGTCTGTTAAAAAACTTTCGGCTCCTGGGCTTACAAGGTGAACTTCCTCGTAACCGACTCGTCCGCCTTTGCACTGTAGTCTGGCCTCAATACAAATGAGATAATGATTCTCAATGGCCACCTGAGGGGTCTTTACAATACCAAATCTTAACCAATCTGGACAATTTCTGCCATCGGCTGGGAAAATGGGGAGAACTACCCTACGTTATGGCCTTTTGGGACCTCAGGTCTCGCCCCAACCTATGTTCCTCCTGCCCCTCTGCATGCATGCTCCTTGTCCGCCCACAACCCCCCAATGACCCCACCTCACCAATTTCCCTGATCTCTGACCCGTTAGAGGATCTAGCCACGCCACCCAGCGGGCCTCACCCCTCTCTGTACTCCCAACCCCCAGCCATCCCACCCTTGCCTCCCATATCATCCCCAACTCGTGCTCAGGCCCCTCCCAGCGAACAGACCCCAGCGGCCATCTTACCTCTCTGTGAGGTGGCAGGGACTGAAGGCCTGGTTCGCGTCCCCTTCTCCAAGACTTGTCCGCCATTGAAAAGCGACTAGGGTCATTCTCAGCAGACCCCACCCAATACATTAAGGAATTCCAATACCTCGCCCAAGCCTACAGTCTCACATGACATTCATGTGATCCTCACCTCTACCCTCACCCCTGAGGAGAGGGAGCGCATCCAGGCCGCAGGCAGAGAGCATGCAGACCAAACCCACATGACCGACCCCACTATGCCCGCAGGAGCCGATGCTGTCCTGGCAGCAGATCCCAGTTGGAACTACCAACATGCAGGCAATGGTCACTGGCGCTGGGACCAGATGATCCAATGCCTACTAGCAGGCATGAGGGCAACCTCAAACAAATCAGTAAATTTTAACAAACTTCAAGAAATAATACAAGACCCCCATGGAAACCCTGCAGCCTTCCTTAGCCGGCTCACAGAGGCACTTACCCAATATACCAGACTAGACCCTACCACCCCTGCTGGGGCCACGGTACTGGCCACCTATTTTATTTCCCAATCAGCCCCTGATATTCGAAAAAAACTAAAAAGGGCTGAAGACGGCCCTCAAACCCCTATGGCCAACCTGGTAAAGATGGCTTTTAAAGTTTTTAATGGCCAAGAGGAAGCTCAAGAACAATAGTGACAGTCCCGTCTCCAACAAAAGGTACAATTACAAACCCAAGCCTTGGTAGCTGCCCTGAGACCAGCCGCAGTAAAGCCCTCTGGACCACGGCCCCCTCCGGGGCCTTGTTTTAAATGTGGCCAAGAAGGCCATTGGTCTCGTCAGTGTCCCCATCCCAAAAAGCCTACCAGTCCATGCCCATTGTGCCAGCAAATGGGCCACTGGATATCCGATTGTCCTAACCCAAGGGACAACAGACTCGCAACACCTCCACGTGGCGAGGCTTCACCCGGATGGGACTCTGCCTTCCAACTGCTGGAGATGGAGGATGACTATTGACGAGGCCCAGACTCAGTAACTCCGGTGACCCACGCCAAGCCCAGGGTAAAACTCCAGGTAGCGGGTAAGTCCATCTCCTTTCTGTTGGACACGGATGCTACCTATTCCGTCCTGCCGAGCTATTTCGGCCCCACTACTCCATCCTCCGTTTCAGTCATGGGCATAAATGGCACCCCCTCCATTCCCCCATGCACACCGGTACTCACCTGCTGCCTGGATGGCCTCCACTTCTCCCACTCCTTCCTAGTCATCCCCTCCTGCCCTGTCCCCCTGTTGGGCTGAGACATCCTCAGTAAATTAGGAGCCTCTATACATTTACCAGCTATTTGCTCCTCTCCCTCCCCCACTCATCTCCTACTGGCTGTTATCATGGACGACACAGACCACAGCCTCAACCCACACCCAGACCTCCCAATAGACCCAATCGTATGGGATACATCCACCCCAACAATCGCCACCCATCACCAACCTGCCCTCATTAGACTCAAAAATCCATCACAATTCCCATCTAGACCCCAATACTCAATCTCCCACACTCCAGACTAGGCCTGAAGCCCATTATCGATCGCCTACTCAAGAAGGGCCTCCTAATCCCATGTCATTCCCCCTGCAACACCCCAATCTTGCCTGTAAAAAAGCCAAATGGCTCATATAGACTAGTTCAAGACCTCCGAATAATCAATGAAGCTGTAATTCCCATCCATCCAGTAGTGCCCAACCCATATACCCTCCTCTCCCAAATTCCCCCATCCATGATCCATTTTACAGTGCTTGATCTCAAAGATGCCTTTTCCACCATTCCCTTACATCCTGAGTCCCAATTCCTCTTTGCCTTCACATGGCAAGATGTAGTCACTTCTCTGGCCTGCCAACTCACATGGACGCTACTTCCCCAAGGATTTCGTGATAGTCCCCATCTCTTTGGGCAGGCCTTGGCCAGGGATCTCCTCAAAGCCCCACTCTCCAGTCACTGTACTCTACTACAGTCCATAGATGACCTTCTATTATGTGGAACCTCTTTCGACCACACCAAACAAGATACAGTCCAAATCCTAAATTTCCTGGCTAACCTGGGGTATCGAGTCTCCCCACACAAAGCCCAAATCTGTACTAATACAGACATATTCCTGGGAGTCTCACTCACACCTACTACCAAGGCCCTAACCCAAGATCATCTTCAAGCCCTCCAGACCCTGTCCCCACCTACCAATGCAGACGAAATCCTCTCCTTCCTGGGTCTAGTAGGCTTCTTCCGACACTGGATCCCTAACTTTGCTATACACGCAGCCCCCCTATACAAAGCAGCCAAAGAAACCCCCCAAGGCCCACTCTCCAGCCCAGGATCGGTCGCAAGGGCCTTCCAACGGCTGGTCACATCTCTAGTCACTCAACCGGTCCTTTCCCTCCCTAATGTTTTAAAGCCTTTCCTCTTATATACAGATGAGAGGGCTGGAATTGCCACAGGGCTCCTAACCCAACCCTGTGGCCCTATGTTACAAGCTATCGCCTACCTTTCTAAACAACTGGACCCTACGATCAGGGGGTGACAACTCTGCCTCAGAGCACTTGAAGCAGCAGCCACTCTAACCCAAGAGGCATTCAAACTCACCCTACACTGCCCCCTAACAGTACTTTCACCGCACCGTCTATCTGATCTCCTTACACATAAGGCCCTGGCACACTTCTCCCCATCAGGCATACAATTGTTCCATCTGCTCTTTATTGAAAATCCTGAAATATCTCTCCAACTCTCCCCCAGACTCAATCTTGCCACGCTACTTCCACAAATCAACCCCAAAGACACTTCACAGCCACCCTTCCACTCCTGCACTGAACTTATAGATATTCTCTCCAAACCTCCATCTAACTTAAAGGACCTTCCCCTCACTTCCCCTGATCTCACCCTATTTGTAGACGGCAGCTCACTAGTTGACTGCAAGGGCCACCGACGAGCAGTGTACACTGTAGTTACATTAAACCAAACTCTAGAGACCCAGACTTTATCCACAGGAACCACATCCCAGAAGGCTGAACTCACAGCCCTCATTAGGGCTCTCCAATTGTCCAGAAACAAAAGGGTCACAATATACACAGACTCAAAATACGCTTTCCTTATTGCACATACACACTCCCACTTATGGGAAGAAAGAGGATTCCTCACAACTAAGGGTACCCCCATCATCAATGGGCCACTCATGGCAAAACTCCTTGAGGCCCTCAAACTCCCACAGGAAGTGGCCATTGTCCACTGCAAGGGCCATCAACCCCTAACCACAGAGATAGCTACAGGAAATCACAAAGCTGACAACACCGCTAGACAAACAGCTCTCTCTCTCGACCCAGTTCCTATGGGCATCCTCACCAAAGATACCACTCCCAATTATACGCCAGATGAACAAAAACAATACATGGCCCATCCCAATGCCCACGCCAACGCAGGCTGGACCATGCTGGGCCCCCGACTGGCCCTCCCAAATAGCCTAGTCCCTTCCCTACTAACAAAAATCCACAAAACCCTACACATTGGGCCGGAGGCCACCTTCCGCTTCCTTGAGCCCTTTATGTACCACCCGCACCTACGACAACTGATCACCAAAACACACCAACAATGCACCACATGCGCTGCAGTCAGTTCCCAAGGGAGAATGAGGCACCCAGGCCCCACTCATCAGATGCGGGGCCATCTCCCGGGCGAAGACTGGCAAATAGATTTCACTCACATGCCAAAACACAAAAAATTACGGTATCTCCTTACTATAATTGACACCTTTACAGGGTGGATAGAAGCCTTCCCCACCTCATCTGAAGGGGCCTCCACAGTGGCTGAGATCTTACTCAAGGACATCATCCCCCGCTTTGTTCTACCAAGAAGGATACAGTCTGACAACGGGCCCGCTTTCATCTCAGCAGTCACCCAACAGGTCTCCAAAGCTTTGGGTATTACTTGGAAACTCCACATACCACACCACCCCCAGTCCTCGGGTAAGGTTGAAAGGGCCAATGGCCTCATAAAAGACCATCTCACTAAACTCTCCATAGAGACTCGGCTTTCTTGGCCTCAACTCCTACCTATAGCACTCACCTGACTCCGAGCTGCTCCCCGAGGACCCACAGGCCTCAGCCCATTTGAACTCCTATACGGGTGACCCTTCCTGTTACCCCAACCCTACCAAAAGATCCTCCTCCTTTGGCTGCCTATCTCCCTTACCTCAGCCTGCTCCGACACCTGATTTGACAGTACGCTGACCTCACTCTACTAGCTCCCATCCATCTCTCCTCTCCCTCACTATCTATAAACCCAAGAGACTCAGTGCTCCTTCGAGTAAGACAAAAACCAACCCTTGCCCCCCGGTGGGAGGGTCCCTACACAGTCATACAACCCCCACGGCTGCTAAATTATTGGGCCACACCCCATGGGTTTACACCTCTGACCTCAAATGGGCCCCCCCTTTACCCCCTATACCAGAAGAATCGTGGACCTCCCAACCAACCGGCCCCCTCACCCTCAAACTAACCCGACAGGCCCCTTCGTGACGGACCCTTCCCCTCGGTTTCCCACCTTCACACTCACAATATTACACGAGCTACAACTCTCCCACTCATCCGACCCCATCACCCTCCCCTTATTTCTCTCCTGGGTCTCCGACTGTTGGCTTCAGGGAACTCTCTCCGATTTCTCCCCCGTCGAAATCTCCTTCTTTAGCTTTTTACTAACCATACTTCTATATCATGATGATACTTCCCTTGTTACTCCTTGTTAACATCATCCCCCTTATACCCTCACAACCCTCCTATAGGTGGGTTTTTTACCTATCCGAAACTTTTAATGGACACACCTCTATCACACCCTCTACCCCTTGCTCCATTGTCGGGTGCCAAAATCAAGTCACCTTTAAATTCCCCTCTTTCAACACCCTCCAAGCCTCTACGCGGATTACTCCTGCCATTTGCTTTTTATATGACCAAACCGACAAAATATGCTCCCAAACCTCCCCCAACCAATATGGAGGATGCCCCTATCACTATTGTAACATACACTGGCTCAACCTATACTGTTTCACAGGACCAAGGACAGGCCGCTTCTGCTTAAAAAATGGCAACTTTACCCTTACTGTCCCTGATCCATGGGATACCCGCTGGCAAACCGGAATAAAGGGCAAACTGTATCAGAATGACCATTTCTCTAACCCCATCTCCTTTTTAACCATCTATCAAACCTATGAGCCCTCAATGTCTCCTTTCCTCTCCAACCTTAAAGATCTTACCCAAGTAATCACGGACCAAAAAGACCAGCTCAACACACAACTACAGACACCCCCTGCACAACATCCCTTCTCATGGCTTACATTGATCAGACAAGGAGCCATCCTGCTTAATCACTCAGGCTTAACCAACCTGTCACACTGCTTTCTTTGTGCATCCCTTCAGCAGGATCCAGTAATAGCCATCCCATTACCCACCCCCTTTCCCAACACCACTAACTCCATCAACCACCCCAGAAGTCAAATCTCCCTATAGATTCCCATCCTCACTGAGACCCCTCAAGGCAACACGTCTCACCCAATATGCTACTCCTCTCATGCCTCCCCAACTTGCCCCTCCCCCCTGCCTATGCCTAGCCACGACCCTCCCCCAGGGGGATTCTATTGGTGTAAGGGCACAGCTTATAAACAAATGCCCCAAAATGCTTTTATCTGTCTCCCAGTCACCATTATCCCCCAACTCACCCTATACGGACAGGAAGAACTCCATCAACTCCTAGAATTCCGTCTCCAAAAACGAGTTGTTTTCCTCCCACTAATGGTCTCTCGCTAGCCACGTCCCTATTGGCCGCCAGGGTTGGGACCGGCTCCCTCACACACTCCATTACCTCCTCCAGGGACCTGTCAGACAGGCTCCAGATCGCAATAGAAGCCTCATCAACCTCCCTATCCAACTTACAAAGGCAGATCAACTCCCTAGCACAGGTCACTCTACGAAACCAACGAGCCCTAGGTCTCCTGACAGCAGAAAAAGGGGGAACATGCCTGTTCCTGAGGGAAGAATGTTGCTACTACCTCAATGAGTCAGGCTTAGTTGAAACCAATATAGAACACCTAAAGGAAATCCAAAAAACTCTATCTGCCCACCCAGGATCCTCAGACCCCCTAACCTCCTGGTGGCAATCACCCCACCTAACTTGGCTCCTCCCCATAGTCACCCCACTAGTTTCTATCTGTATAATACTTATGCTCTTACCTTGTTTTCTCCGTTTCATATGGAAACGAATTCATGAAGTTTCCCAGGTCGCATTTCATCGGATGGTGGTCTGGCCCTATTCCTGCATTCCAACCTCAGACCCCACATACTATGGCATCACCCTTACACCCGCAGGAAGCAGCCAGATCAGATCCCTCGCCCATTATCACCAATAAGAGGTTGGAATGTTAGGATGTCCCTGGAAGGGGACGGCCCTCTTGCCAGCACGCCTGAACAAACTGAAGCCCCAAGCAGCGCGCGGGAACAAACTGAAGGTCAACCAATCACCGAGCGCCAGCACAACCTGGTACAAGAGAAAGACCCACCCGAGCCTAAACCCGGAACTGCTGCAGCTTAAAAACCCTACCCCACCATACCCGGGCGCGACTTCCCTGACTCCTCTCTCTCTCTCCCTGAGTCACAGAACCTAGCCCGAGACCTTAGTTCCCAAATAAAGCCTTTGCTAAAATTTTTTAGCCTCTGACTCCTATCTTTACCCTGCCTTACACCTGACCCTAACAGTCAGTATCTGCGGGAACGTGGCAGATGACCTTGAGCAAGGTACTTGATTCTTTCCGTACCTCAATTCCTTCATCTCCCATTTCCCACCTTATTCGTTGCCTCGTTTCTTCATCTAAGGGGTTTGCCCAGATCCTTTCTGGCTTTCCTTTCAGTTCTAAAGTCCTGTGATTCCATGACTTGCTCAAAGTGACATGGCTCATCCATGGTAGAGCTGGGGCCAAAATCTATGACTCTGGACTTCTAAACATTGCTCCTTTCACTAGGATGAAGGCCCCAATAAACCAGCATAAAATATCCCCCAACAGCAACAGTAACAAAACCTTTGGGCCAAGAAACAGAACGTGAAAATGCTGGTTTGTCAAGTTTATAGATTTAAGGCAACATTTCATGTAGGTTAAGCTGCTTATAAGCTGCTCTCAGTCTCAGGTACATTTCTTGGGCCAAAGGCTACCAGAAACCCCAGGAAGTTCCTCCCTGAAGGTATAAGGTAGACGAGCTGCCTTCGGGAGAGAGCAAAGGTAGGCTTCCCAAGTAGGGGTTTCAGTTTGGCAACAAGAAAGAGCTTCCCTCCTGTAGGCCCCATCCCAGTATGAAAAGGGAGGATGGCCTGAGACAGGAGAGGCCAGGGAGGATGCTCACCCTGGGCTACTTCCCAGGACTGGGAAGTATGAGCATGGTGCCAGCCAAGACAGGAAAAGGAGGAGCACAGGTCGGGTCCAGATTTCCATGGTGAGACACCATTCTCAGTATCTCCTATGTCTTACAATTTATTTAATTTTACAACAACCTCATGCACAGGCACTAGTGTTGCCCCTCATCACACAGATAATGGAGGTGAGAGATCCTCCCACAAGGCTACACAGCCAGCGCAGAGCTGGCTCTGGCATTCAACTCAGGCGGTTGGCTATAGATGCCAGCTGGGCTATCTCTCCTGGACGAGCCCGGCGTACTGAGGAGGAAAGACCTCGGTCTCCTGACCCATAAAATGTACCCATTCCTGTTGTGTCCTGCTCCCACCCCTTTGGCAGAGGGGAGAGGAGGCTGAGCTATTCCAGTCTGAATTACCCCTGGCTGTGCTCGCCTCAGGCCACCTCAAGACTCAGAGAGCCCTGGGCCAAGGCTGAAGGAAGGTGGGGGAGAAGGGATGCACAGGACACTGAGCGCTCTCTGCCTGTCTGCTGGTGATACGTCCTGGCAGGAAGTGAAAATGGTGCAGAGTCAGGGTGAGAAGCCAGGCTGGGTGGGCATAAAGGATCTTCAAAGAAAGGCAGTCTAGAAAAAAAAAAAGAAAAAGAAAAAACTGCTGCTGCTTTGCAACTAGTAGCACTGAAATGACCTTAAATGTCTTGGCTGCCCACAGTAATTGTGGCCTGTCTTTACAAATTCAAATTTGTGTGCAGTGGGGCTGGAAGCAGCATCTGTCAGGAGTTTGCATCCTGGGCTCTTCTTTTATTTTCTCCCCTCACCAGAGTCCCTTGCTCAAGGTCCCCTCCTCCACTAAATCTACAGCAGAGAATGGCAGGGCAAACAGGCTGAGGACTCTTGAAAAACAGCCAGTTTTCCCCACCTGTGAACCATCTGGTACTGCCCTTCCCTCTCTTCTTTACATAATCTCAGAAATCTTAAGGGATCTCTTGTGTGTGCACTGGAGTGAAAGCCCATCTTGCTTTTTGCAAGGCTTGTGATGCAAACGAATCCTGGTCCTTTCATTTGCGCTTGGAGATCCAGGAAAAACTGGGATTATAGGATAAACAGGAAGCTATAGCCAAAGGAATGGTACTGGCTACTAAAAATAGCCCTTTCTCTAATCTCCCGAAAGCATCTCCAGTATTTCCTTTGACGGAGGAGCAGGGCAGAGAGAGCTGGGAGGAAGCTACGCCTTGGCGGCTGGGTTCACTGGATACTTACTTCGTATAAGGTAATATATAAGGGTGCAGCTCCCACTGGCCACCACACTGGAAAGAAGGACCAGTTTCCCCAGAGGCAATGGCATCTTGCTTCCTGGAGACTTTACAAACAAAAGACATGAATTAGTCTTTAAATTCAAGTTTAGGACAAGGGACTTTGGCTGGATTGGGCCCCACAGGGAAAGGAAAGCTAAAGAGGAAGCCAGCAAGGAGGGGAGGCCACCTTCCCCATTTGCTTCCTTTCAGAAAACCAGGGCTGGTTCTGGAGCCAAAGCAAAAGTGCCCTCCCGAGGGTGGCCCACATCCAGGACCCAGGCCGTGGGGGCGACGGCTGAGCACAGAGCAAGCATTCAGCACTTGTCTTTTCGGACGGAACCCAGCCCGTGTGCCAAGTCCTACATGGCCAGGAAGCACAACCACTTTGTCTCCTGCCTGCTGGTAAACAGGAAGCTTATCCTTTTGTGGCAGTAGTTGGTCTTATGAGCCTACCAATAGGCCTGCGTGGTCACTGGCTGCTTTCTTTCATATTTTGAAAAATGTCCCACCCCCCTGGATGAGGAAACTGTGGTCATGACTCTCAGGATGAATGAACAGATGGAGAGGAGCCAGCTCAGCAAATTCAGCATACCATGGCCACCCTGGCCTTAACTCCTGTCTCCTGAAGGCCTGGGTGGGGCTTTGAGCAGCACTAGGGCCTCAATGGTACCAATTATGCTCCTTCTGGTGGCCATTTAACCACTGCTCACAACTGGCCTAAGCCTTTCTGTGAAGCTGTAAGATACCCGGCCATAAAGCAGAGCAGGACACTGGCTTAGGACTGGATAAATCACATAAATGAGAGCAGACACTGAAAAGTGAGGAGTGCATGGCGCAGCCAAAAGGCAGCTTCGACCCAGCTCCAGCTGACAATGGTTATGCAGGCCAAGTCTGGATGGATCTTCCAATACTCCAAGAGACCTTTTATGTTAAACCGTTCCAATTCTAAGTGTTGACAACCAACTAAAAAGAAAAACAAACAAAAAAAAACCAAAACAACAACCAAAAAAAAAAAAAAAAAACCAACAAAATGCGTATGAGTCAGGTTCTTTCTGTAGGCTTCTGGTTTGCTTTGACCACCCAAGCTGCACCAGGGCATCCTCACCCTCCATGAGATTTAGGTAAATTCCTCTGTCTGTCTTTGCTGATATTTCTCCAAGAAGAAGTGAGATTTTGGACAGAGATGGAAACCTCAGTTATAAACTGGGAAGGAAAAGACGAAAAGTGTTTATATCCCCATTTGAAGATTTAACGTTAGAGTTTTATGTGCTTCTTTAGGACCAAGCTTTTGATGTGACCTAAAGGGGTCCAAGGCATTACAGTGCAAAATACTGGGCATGATGCTAGTTTCTCTGCCAGCTAGATCTGTGAGTCAAGGTATCCATATTCTCACCATCTACTCCTCCACCTTCCAGAATATAGATACTACTGGGGCGCCTGGGTGGCGCAGTCGGTTAAGCGTCCGACTTCAGCCAGATCACAATCTCACGGTCCGTGAGTTCGAGCCCCGCTTCGGGCTCTGGACTGATGGCTCAGGGCCTGGAGCCTGCTTCTGATTCTGTGTCTCCTTCTCTCTCTGTCCCTCCCCCGTTCATGCTCTGTCTCTCTGTCTCAAAAATAAATAAAAAACGTTAAAAAATTTAAAAAAATAAAAAAAAAATAGAATACAGATACTACTAACAACCGTCTACTTATTTCTGAAACCTGAAGGTAAATGAATCCTTAGGAAGGGCTGTTGGAGAAAGTTCCTCATATGGATATTCCTTCTGGGAACTGAGAACTAAATATACCCTCAGGGCTAATGTTGACCAGCTCTACACTAAAATAACACTAAATTGAGGTTTCTGTATAAAAAGTATTTTGATCAACATATCAAATTAAGGAAGATGAAGCATTAGATCATCCTTGTATTATTTATTTATACGCATTTTATCCAACAGAGAAGGCTGCTGAAACCCCAAATACATGTACCCAGATCGCTGTGACAGTTTTGGCTGGTGCTGGGTAGTATGTAAGAATATTTATCAAAGTTGCGTGTAAGCTAATTACAGCAATGTAATCTGGGAAAAGCCATTTAGTCTCATAATGGAAAGGGTCGGAGCATCTCCAAAAAATGCATGAGTCAGATCTTGCTTAATTTGAAGGATAACTCAGGAGGGTGGGGCCGTGAGCATGAATCACATAGAACTCCCCAGAAGGTTGTAGTTTCTACAGCTGACATGAGACATGAGAAGGAAAACTGTCCTGAAACAATTCAGAGAATAGCCACCCATCTCTCATGTGAAATTACAGCCACAAGTGGACACTAGAGACCAGGAAAAACTCACAATTATTAAGGGAGCAACTTACATCTATTGTCTAACTTGAGAATACTCTGGCAGGTTCTAAGGGGGAACACGGCCCCAGAACATTCATTACCTTTGCCACTTCACAGCACGGCTTTCTTGAAAATCATCAAAGAGAAGTCGCTCTGCAATTAGATAAAGATTTTACATTAAAGTCACTTTTCAAACCCAAATCTCTCTGATTTCCAGTTTAAGACAGCTAAGTTTTATTACCAATCCAAGCTTTGGAACACGAATAAAAAGTTTAAATTTCAAAACAAGCCTTGTCTATACAGGGCTCTGGTTTTCCCCCCTTCTCTTCTGCCATGTAAGGAAAAGAAGAAACAACAAAGCCTGATGGTCTCCTGCGTGTGCACTATGTAACTCATAACAACCAGAAAACTGGTGTGGAGGGGCAGGCATACACGGCACATGTCTGACCACAATGCACACGATCCTGGATACAGGCAGCTGCCCACCAAAACAAGACGCCATCAATATAAGCTGTACAGCATGGATTAAAGCAGTTTTTTAGGGTTAAAAAGAAACAACAGTGTATTAAGTGTATACATAGGCTTTAATAATAATGATACGAGGTAACATATCTCTATTAGGTGCTTGGTGCCTATATGCTAAGCACGGTACATACAATAATTCATTTAATTCTCACAATCACCCCATGAAGTAGGAACTATTGTTATTATCCCTATTTTATAGATAAGTAAACTGAGGCACAGAGAGGTTAAGTAGAGTGTCCAAAGTCACTGATATGTGTCTCGGTGGTAGAACTGGGATTCAGACAGGCAGTCTGGTACCAGGGTCTGTGTTCTTAGGCACCATGATGCACTGACTTTAAGATACCTGCTGATTTCAGAAATACTGAAAAGTAAATATATACACATACATATACATAGACACATATGTGTATGTCTCTAAATTAAAATATACTCATGTTCAGTGCAAAAAGACCTCATCATATATGCCTTTCCTGCTATTTTTCATGATAAGAATGAGGCGCATACTTGTACTTTCACTCTTTCATTTAGCAAATGGTTGTGGAGGGCCTGCTCTTGTCAGACAAACAGTGCTGAGGGGAATAAAGACAATTCACAAAAGGGCCGTCAAGTATAACTATGCAGTACAGCACAGCACAATCCTAGCAGGCTTCCACTTCCAGGTGAAACATCCTAGATTCCTCATTATTAAGACGGTTTTCCAACAGTTCGAAGTTCTAGAAAGTTACTTGAGGAAGGGGCAGGTACCTTTTCCTAATTTGCACAAAGGTGCCTATGGGCGAGCTGCAGCCCAGTTAGTGCAGGCAGAGTCCTGAGCACCAGGAGAGGAAGCGACACCCAGGAAGTGGTCAGCTCTTCCTGGAGGGGGTCAGCAAAGGTTTCACAGAGGAAATCAGCTCAGCAGAGAGAGCAGAGCTGAAGGAAAGGGTGACAGGCTTCAGGTCGGTGGAAACAATGAGCGAAGGCCAGCAGCAGAAATGAGAGCTGGGGGTGTGGGAGGAGTCAGAGCCACACGACAGTGGTCTGGGAACGGAGGCAGTTCCTGCTGAGGAAGGCCACCCACTCTGAGCTGCTGGGCTCTACCCCATAGAAGGGGCCGCAGGCAGGAGCAGCAGCAGTGGAGTAGAAAGAGTATATGAGAAGGGCAGTTTCTTAAAATATTTATTTGCTCATTTGTACACCAGCTCATTCTAAAAAGGATGATAGGGCTAACAAGGATGCAAATTTTAGAAGAGAAGAAAGAAATGAATGAGGAAATGAAGCCAAAGAGAAAATAATTTTAAGAAAAGAAATACAGCTGGGGTAACAGTGCAAAAAATTACACACTCTGGTGCACTAGACATTTCTTCAAGGCAGCCAGGAGGGAAGTCTGAGCAACTACAAGGCCCAGTGTCCATGGGGTCATGGGACACAGCAGCTGAGGAGGAATACAATTCCTAATAACACACAAAGCCCGAGAAAGATCTCTCCCACACATGCTCAGCAATGGAGTCTCTGAATTGGCTAGCATTGCAAACAACATCCCTAGAATTGTTTTTAAAAGTTCACAAATTCCAAATAATCACTTTTTTGGATAACATCCCCTAATAAAAGCCACAATCAGAGTCCAAGCAGAAACATAAACAATTCTACAAGTGGCCCAAACATTGGGGCCTAAGTGGGAAGTTCTGACCGGCTACCTTGACTCAAAGGAGAACTAAGGCAGTCATGACTGACCGGGTCTCCAGGGAGCCCCTCCATGTGTGACAGTGAGGTGAGGGATTTGGGGTTGAGGTGGGGAGAGGAGAACAAGGACTCAGCCTCTGCCCCTTTCAATCAGCTTCCGTTTACCTACCTCATCTGCAGCCTTGAAGATAGTGGTCAGCAGCCCCCAACCTCACACACCACAAATTCAAAAAGGCATGCTGGAGAACTAGAGATAGATTTGAGGCTACCTCCAGGAATGTTGTATTTTAGAACTAAGCTTTTGATCACTGAAAATTTGTTAATCTGATGTGAAAATCTGCAAGAAACTCAAATTCAGTTAGCCTAATACACAGCCAATCAGGGGAAGATTTTTTGCTTTACAGTTAACTAAGAGGCAAGGGTTGTGACACATCTTGAAAATGAAGCTGGTTAGCCACAGGAAAGCGGAACAAAGTACAGGCAGGCTCTCTTCAGAAAGCAGTCAGTAACTCTGCTTTGACACACGAAGGGTGACTTGGGCCCACAAAGGCTAATGGCTTACAAACTCTTCTCAAAGGAGTGAGCACCTTTCTGGAGTCAAAGGGCAATCTGTGAAACAGGGTCGAGGACCCTCCTGTCACCTCCCTCCGAGCCCCCGACCAGATGGAGGAGATCCATAGGAAGTATCATTAGGGAGATAAACAGAAGCAGCTAGACGGTTCAAGCCACAGTCATGATCTGACCAGGGGAAGATGGAAGCAATCTGGTGGTACGATCTCAAACTGGGCTGCACATCAGAATCCTGTGAAGAGCTTAAAAAAAAAATTTGATGTCCAGGCCACTCCTCAGATGGATTGAAATAGAATCTATGGGAGTGGGATCCAGGCACTGGTGTTTTTTAACCTCCTCAGGTGAGCCTAATACACAGCCAAATTTGCAGCCAGTGGTCTACAGAAACAACACCCTGCAAGTCAAGCACGTGGGCTGTGGTTCAAAGGCTGGTCAGATGATCCTGTAGGGGGTCCTGGGACATTAGAGAATGGAGCCAGCTGTTCTCTCCATGCCACACACACCACCTCCCCGACCACATCTTGAGAGATTTAGAGGCTGTGGCAATAAATGAAATAGACTCCTCTTCCCAAGTGGTCTGGCCCTGGATAACAGGCACATAACCCTCGTGGGCCCTGGTCTGATAGTGGGAACCTGAAGCAGCAATCTGCCAGTGTGTGAGATAAAATCCTTGAGTTTAATAAGAGGTAAGCTCAGGAGGTCCTTATACCAAGACAAGCACCCCAAAACCCAGCTGAGAAAGATGGACTGATCTAAGATAATAAATCCTTGATTTTTATGAGGCAGTTTTCTCACATTGTAATATTTCTGAAATCAGGCTATGTCTTACAAGCTGGGTCTCTTTAGTAAAGTGATTCTTTTCTCAACACTACCATCCCCAAATTGTTAAAACCATAATTTGCCTTAATACATTAAGAGTGGGCATAATAGGCAGCTGAAGTTGGAGCAGGGCCAGCCTGTACATGAACTCAGGACCATGTGAGCTTCCCAGCAAGACTATTAATATTCCATGGTTCTTCTTTAACTCTGGGCTTTGCTCAGGGAGACCCAGTCCAGGAATAATCTACCCACTCAAGTTCCTCTGGATGACGTATGGCTGGTCTGGCTTGTCCCACATCTGAGTGACTACTATGGGCCAGGCATAAAGCAGGATATTTTATATGCACTACTACTATTTCTTATAATATCTACAAACGGTAAAATATTTTTGCCTTTTTTGAGCTAGGAAAGAAGTCTTAAGAAAGGTTCTAAAAGTTGTTCATGGTTACATAGCTATTCCACAACAGAGCTATCACATATATCTGTCTGATCCCAGAGGCCACGATTTTTCCATCAAGTAACAAAACCCATGTTATGGGTTTCCTAACAATCAACTTCCCATACAGGTAATATGTGCTGTCCAAAAGCCACTCCAAAAGTTTACATGTTCTTTCTGCAGGAAACAAGCCCTCCCTACCAACACACTAGCTATGTGAATGAGCAACCATGGACATTCATGAGCCACCAGATGACTATAGTACCAGCAGACTATCTATGGAGCAGAAGGACCATCCACCTGTTCCATCCATGAATCACAATAGATAATAAATTGTTCTAGTTTGAAGCTGCAAAGTTTTGAGATGGTTTGTTATGCAGCAATAGATAACCAAAATATCTTTTAAAAGCTTTTCTGAAAAGATTTTAAAAACTCTGTAAAAGATATGTTAATTTTTTTTAAGTTTATTTATTTATTTTGAGAGAGAGAGCAAGAGCAGGGTAAGAGGAGAGAGAGAGAGAGAGAGAGAGAGAGAGAGAGAGAGAGAGAGAGAATCCCAAGCAGGCTCCACAATGTCAGGACAGAGCCTGACATGGGGCTCCAATTCATCAACTGTGAGATTATGACCTGAGCCAAAATCAAGAGTCAGACACTTAATTGACTGAGCCACCAAGGTGCCCTGTAAAATATACATTATTTCTAAGAACAACAATTTAAAAAAGCAATGAAAGGCTTAAAAAAAGAAGACTTATATTCAAACAAAAACAAAGCAGAGTGGAAATATTCAGAGTAGAATTCAAGGCAAAAAGCCTTTAATGGAGTCAAAAATAGACAAAAATATAATACCTATGATCAGTAGTAGCAAACAACATAACAGTAAAATATATAAAGCCAAAAACTAGTAAAAATAAAAGAATAAATGAAAAAACTACAGCAGGAAACCAACATGTCATTTTCTATTTTTAACAAATCCAATGAACAAAAAAAGCAATCAAGAACCAAGAATCTGAATAACTTTTTTACCTTGCAAGGTTCTGTGTGTGTGTGTGTGTGTGTGTGCATGTGGACATATCTGTGAATACACATTTGAACATACTAAGATTTTCCAGTGTCTAGCATAAGGCTTCGTGGGACTGACATAAACATTCTACTGTTCCCATTGCCCAGTCCTGTGACTACCTCCTGGAGAATAAATCTGTACAATTTTTGAGAAGACAAAGCAAGTACAGATCAGCAGTTATGTATCTTAAGTCAATTCATATACACAACGATGGAAATTGACCTTCCACTACTGCAAGCAGCTATTATCCTTAATTTTGAAGATTAAAATGACAAAATTTGAAATTGAGTTTCAAATAAGATGGAAGAAATTAAAATCAGCTTAATGCCATTTTCATTAAGAATAAAACAAACTGAAAATGTTAACAGTTGTTATCCATTAATTCAATCAACAAATATTTTCCAACTGCACTCAAAATACCAGGCACCATCTATGCACTGGAGATACAGCAGAGAACAAAATAGACATGTGGTTTGTGGACCTTACATTGTAGTGGGAGGAGATAAACAATAATAAGATTAGTTTAGTTAGTGATAAATACTTTGGAAAAAAATAGAGTTTCAAGAGAATGAGAAGATAAACTACAAACTGGGAGAAAATATTTGCAAAAGACGTATTTGATAAAGGACTGTTACCAAAATATACAAAGAACTCCTAAAAATCAACAACAGAAAAATAAACCTAATTAAAAAATAGGAAAAAAAATGAACAAATGTCTCACCAAAGAAGATACACAGATGGCATATAATCATATGCAAAGATACTCAATGTCATCTGTCATCAGTGAACTACAATTAATACAAAGAGATACCATGACACATCTATCAGAACTACTAAAAGCCAAAACACTAACACCAAATATTGGATGTGGAGCAAACACTGATGGTGGGAATGCAAAATGGTACATCCACTTTAAAAAAACAGTTGGGTAGCCCACCTACCAACCTAAACAAACAAATATATGCATGTGACATGTGTGAAAATCAAGAAAAGGAAACCACACTAAAATGGAGTGGGGGGGGGGGGGTTGGCAGGGGAGCTCTTATGCCCTACCACCCATCCTCAAATGCAAATCCAACAGGAAGAGAGGGACCTTGCAGGTGGATTCTACTTTCCCATCCCAGCAGGTGGATTCTACTTTCCCATCCCAGCAGGTGGATTCTACTTTCCCATCCCAGCAGGTGGAACAAAGCTTTTCCTCACGCCTATGCACCACCACCCAGCAACAGATCAGCCAATGAGAGACAATCACCACTCAGCCAATGAGGAGCCACTATACTTCCAACTCTTAGTTTACTGCAATGGGCTATGTGTTTATAACAGCCTCCCCAAGTCCCCGTTTTCCTCTATAAAAGAGTGTGCCTCTCCTTTGTTCTCCTAACTTCCCTATGGTTCTGACATAGCTTACTTGACCCAGATTGCAATTCTTCGCTCTTCGCCCCCCCCCCAAAAAAACCATCTTTTGCTGGGAAATAACTGGCAGTTTTCTTTTAAGGTTAACTCATGCTAGAGTATAAAAGGAAGAAAGAGCAGTTTAAACTGTGGGGTGAAACTGTGCCTCTCTACCAAGGCAACATTTGAGTTGAGATTGAAGGAGTAATTTGAAACCCAGAAGAGGGGCAAGTAGAGCAGGCTAAGGCCTCCAGGCAGCCGCCAACTTGATATGTTCAAGAACCAGAAGGCAGGCTAGCATGTTAACTGAGGGCCGGCAGGAGGGCACGGTCTTCATCATGTAGACCTTTTTCGGGTATCACAGACAGTTTGGATTTTATTCCAAGTGTAATGAGATGCTGCTGGAGACTTCAAATGGGATGATATAGTCTGGCTTGCCTTTTCTTTTTTTAAAGATTTCTCTAGAAGGGGCAGGATGGAAGCATGAAAACCAATTAAAAAGCTCCTGCAGTAGGAAATAATAGCAGCTTGGACTAGCTGGTAGCAGCAAAGATGCAAAAAAGTGAAAACATATGAAGTAGGAAGCAGAACTAACAGGATACTGGAGGGATGGTGAAGGGCAGGGCAGAGTGATTTCACAGGATTTATCATTATTATCCTTAAGCCTCCTTACAAGTATTACCAGCATTCAAAATTACCATGCACTCAGACTTTAGAAATGATAGAGTTGTGGTAGAAAGCTTAAAATAGTAAACTTTGATTGCTAAATCTGATTACTCATGATGTCTCATACATTTGAATAAAAAACGTTTCAAGGCCATTCTCTTGCAGATTTGAAAACACAGCAAAAAGATATTCAGTATTTTCTGGCATCAAAAACTTTAGATAAAGGACTCTGATTCATAACCATTTTGCAAGGGAATATGAGTAAGGAAAACCCTATTAAACGTTTACTTCAGCATTTCTATTAAAACCCTCCATCTTAGAAAAAGAAAGTATATAGGAAAATAAAACAATTTGGCATCAGTGATTAGAAGTAGAATCTGGGAGGCTCGTGGCTGAATGTTCCCTCCCTGAAACT